CACACTCTCTCTATATATATATATGGTCGCAAAATATATCTTTTTCTCTCTACCAGTTTTATAAATATATATGAGGTAGTGTTCTAAAAATTAATATATTTATTTATATCTCACAATAAATATATATATATATATAGTTATATATATATATATATATATATATATATATATATATATATATATATATATATATATATATATATATATATATATATATATATATATATATATATATATATATATATATATATATATATATATATATATATTACGCATTTAATTTCAATATGGAGACCATTTGATTTTTAAAGAGAAAAGATATGATATGTTTTAAAGTCGCATGTGATCTATGTACATTAATTATAAGTTTGAAAATATGTTCATCGAAAAAAGTTTGAAACTTATCCAACCGGAACCATATTTCAAAATCAGCTATATATCCATTGTTTTTTGGTCAACGGAGGAAACTATTCATATACATAGGGTCTGACTGGTACTCTTTCGTAGAAGAAAAATAATGAGAAGAAAAATAATTCTTCTGTGTTGTATTTAAATGTAATCAGTCAGATGAAAAGCAGTTGATTTTGTTTTCTTCCCAATTTTTCAAAAAACAACGTGAAAAGGTAGAATTCATCCCACTTCAAATATATGAGAGAAATTTTTTTCTGTTTTTTTGCTTTTATTTTCTTCTCTTTTCTTCTTTTATTTTTCATCTCATTTCTTTCACTTTTTACCAGTCACACTCATAGTGTAATAGAAGTGCATAATTATATAAATTGAAAATGTACGTATTTAATGAATCATACAAATCTTGTGTAGGGTACTTACCAAAACTAAATATAATTCAATAAAACAAAAAAAAATAACAAACGAAGGAGAGTTGACTTTTTTCTTTTTGTCTATCAGTGGATTCAATAATAGGACGAAAAACACACGGTCCAATAAGGCGATTAGGTCACTCGTCTAAAGACTTGACGCCAATTTTAAGTACATATCAACGGTCTAATCCTATGTGGCAACATAGACCTACCTCTCTTCTGTACACATTATCATCTTCATCTTTTTCCATTGTGAAATCTTCTAACAACATGACTAGAAGTCTAGAATGTAATAAAATACAATAAAACCTTTATGGTAAACAATAACAGTTTGTACACAAATTCATATTCGGTAACCTAGAAAATATTATAAATAAAACTATATACGGCCCGCCTATTTAGGCGTATGTAAGATATAAATATTATTTTTTTTATGATAGTATTTGAAATTTGCAATACAGTTTAACTATCTATTTCATCATATTAAACTCGATTATAATTCTACACACTTCATCTTAACTGATAACAATTTTATATCAAAATAATATTAATATGAGATCAAACGGCCTGATCAAGAGAGCCAGAAGCTGGGTCCGCCCTATATCTTAGTTAATATTAAAATAATTAACAATTAACAAACTATAATTAATAAAAAATAGAAATCTACAAAAATATTGAAAAACAAACATTATTTAAAATATATTTTTATATATGGTGTAACACATCAAAAGATGCAAGCACTTCCATCATAGGATACGAATTCTTAGAATAAAACATAAGTATTCAAAATTTTATTATCATAAGCTCATTAATTTGTTTTAATTTTTTTTCTATTTTAATTTAACGAATAAAAACACTATATTACAATAATACATACAATTTTATCCAATTAAATTAATGTTAAATAAATTATATTGTTATTTTAAACTTCAATGGCCTTTTTAGTTAGTTATTATCCTCATTAAATATTCTTTTTAAAAATTAATATATGCTAAATTTAATTGACCAATAATACATTTAAAAATAAATTTGTTAATTTTCCTTTTGGTTAAAAAAATATATATTTAGATATAGACATATAAATTAGTATATATAAATTTGTTTCCTCTTTTAGTTTTTCTATTTCTTTAAAGGAAAAAAAAATTAATTTTTTTCTAACACATGTCAACATCTGATAATAGATTTCACATGTCTCACAATCCTATGAATTACTAACTTTGAAAACCATAATTTTTTTTTATCAACCACACATTCATTAAAAAGTAACTCCATGATTGGTTGCCCAACTAGGTGGAGAAGAGTTTACAAAAGTAACATCAGAAAACAGAAGTCTAGAAGAACGGGCTAAACAGTCCGCCTTAATATTACATAAACGAGAAATAAGAGAAAGCGAGAAAAAGGAAAAAGAGACACGGAGCAACTCCAACTCGTCTAGCAGATTGGAGAATGCGGGCCATTCTTCAGGAGACTGAACCATCGAGACTTACTCAGAACAATCTGTTTCAAAAGCCTGACAATCAATTCTTCTTGAAAGGATATTCTTCATAGCCCAAATTAAAGCTTCCAACTCCGAGTGAAGGGGGGAGGGACATCTCCGAAGGCATTTTGCACCAAGCAGCAAAGTTTGATCAGTTCCTTGAAAACACCACCATCCTATACCCATAGTTGGGTCTGAAGATTTCCAAGAGCCATCAATCCGACATTTTTTTAAAACCATATTTTATATAATAAAATAATAAATTATGATCAATGATCATAGTTATTATGGGAAGAAAAAAAGTCATACCGTAATTATTTCCTAAGTTTTTATATGACGCACGTATATGGTAATAATTACTGAAATTTTATATTAGTTGTATTGTTATAAAGGAATGGGTTGATATAGTTAATTACTTCGTCGCCTGCATATAAGTCATTGTTGGAGATTTGCCAGTCATGTCGGAGGACTTGCTATTTTTAGAGCGAAAAGGAAGAACATTGATCTCTTAACGTTCACACCAATCACCAATTCAGCACCCGCAATGTTCATATCATCATATATGATACCGATACGGCCTCTTTTTTTATAAAACGTGGTTTCATAGTACCTTGTGGAATCTATATACCATTCACACCACGTCTCTGTTTAGAATCAACACAGTTGAATATACTTTATAGATTTATTTTGTTTACGTCAGATATTTATTGCTTTTAGTTTATATTACATTGTCATATATTGAATCACTATATTCATTCAACACGAAAGCACAACTCTTAAGTCTTAACATACAATTACAATATGTTGAAACTTCTAGAAAGCTTATATTTGTAATGCCATAAGTCTATGCTAGTAAAAGTTCTTTAAGTTGTAAATCATAGCTTAGATCGAGGACTAAGCAAAACTAATTAAGACGACTACTCAACAACTAATTGACATTGTTTTTTTTATATAATCAACAACATGCGTTATAAAGATTTGATCATTGGTAATCAACACATCAACGACACATCAAATTGAATCATCGAAAAGTAAGTATCATTGATTTGCTAGCTTTTTCGACAATAATAAGTAAGTAACAAAAATTTTAAAGGATTCTTTTTAATTTATTCTTGAAAAATATTATAATCAATATATATATAATCATATATAATATTAAAAATATATATAAAACCTGAACAAAATCTTTAAATCTATGATTGAATATAATATCTTGATTAATATAATTAGATTGAATAAGTCTTAGAAATGTTTAAAACTTCCTTGGTTGTGAAGGCAAGGTTTTGGTTTATTACATTTTCCACCTTAAATTTTAACTACCGTTTAAATTCTATATGTACAATGCAAGGCAAAGCTTATGCTCACCACTATATGTACAATGCAAATAGTTATTAACGAATTTAGGAAGATTATACTTTTTGACGTAATTTTTTTACATTCGATAATGAAAGACAACAAAAAGATAACCACATTAACGATTACAATCATCAATCTTGTGAGTGTGTGTATGGTTAGAAACTTAAGATGGTTAAATAGAGAAACATCATCAATCATACATAACTCTGTTGGTAAACATATACGATTACTAGTCTATGGTACATGACCAAAATACACAATCAAAAGTATAATAAGAAATGAGAAAAAAAAAAAAAAAAGTATAATAAGAAATATACAATGTTTGCTTGATGGTGGAAACTATATCATCAGTTTGTAACAAAACAAAAAAATAGTAATAATAATTATGCTTCTTCTAATATTGTTTTCATTTTTGTTTTGCTAATTTATTTGTTCCTCAAAAATTGAAAGCAACTTAATAAATAAATAAATCTAAACGACGGAGCCTTCGTAGATCGTCGAAAGTTTCAGCCTAAAAGATCGAACCGCCAGCTTAGCTCGCTTAGACGTGTATCTCCTCAAATTACGAACCGAACCGGACCGGTTATAACCACTCGAAGCTTTAAACGGCGCAGTTTTACTCACTAACGGCCGTCCCTTCTTAACCGTCGTTTCACTTCCATTTCCGTTAAGGGAATCATTAGACCCCGTCAACATCATAACCGGAGAGATTCTCACCTTCTTTCGCCGACGAGATTCTTTCTTAACAGAGTTTTGTATCGCGACGCTTGCTTTAACGGCGAGAGCCGCCATGTCCGACGCCGTTAAACGATTCTGACGTTTAGAGATCGGAAGAACGAAGTAGATCTGGTCCGCCTGAAGCGGTTCTTCCGATTTGATCGCCGGAATGAAATCGTCATAGTAGAGAGAATCTGAATCACAGATGAAATAAGAAGAAGATCTAGAGGAAGACGAAGCTGCCGCCGATTCAGCTTCCAAAACTTGAGATGCTATCACCGGAACATTGTATTCACGTAGGTCGCCGTTAACCGTCACGATCTTCACCGTCGGCGAAGAATTTGAGTCTTTCCGATGAAACGACACACAGATTCCCATTTTGATTGAGGTAACAAATTTGAAATCTAGAGAGAGAGAGAGAGAGTGGAGAAGATTCACGAATGTTGATACGACGCGTCGTATAGAGTCGGTCATGGAGGGTATATATAGAAGACGGATGGATGATAAAACCGGGTGATTAAAATTGAAATTAGTAAAACCGGTTACGGTTTAATTGTTTTGAACCGGTAGTTAACACGTAGTTTTTGTTTGTTGTCTGTCCATTAGTAGATTTTTGTCACGCATAGTAAAAGGACATATATAATTTTTTCCTTAGTTATACCTCCTAATTAAAGTTCGTTTTCATGACCTAATTACTCTGAATTATTTATTTGTCTTGTTGAGTTATTTGTTACTATATAGTGTATGAATTTTAATTTAATCGTCAATGTATCCACCACATATCCTAAAAATCTTTCTGATTTAACTTTCTATATATTTCGATGGATTTTTCCATGTATTTTAAGGAAGTTTCAATCATGGCAATTTTATACACACGAATATACAGATTCTAAATATATTTAGAATTAAATAATTATATAAGTTGTGGTCATGTGTACGAGCTAGTGTGTGTATGCGTGCGTATAGGTGTATAGCCATATTTTCTTATCAATCTTTTCTTTGAATATTGAATGAATGCTCTTAATTATGGTTACTCTGTATCATTCCAATTTAATTGGATATCATGCATGTCAATTTCACAATACTCACAGTAATCTATCAAAATTAACGACGTTTATCGAAAAAGACGATAATCTATCAAACGTGATTAGTTTTGATTTCATAATATTCTAGAATTCATTTTATTGTTGATGTGTGCATTATTTACTTAACTAGAATTTAAAATTTTTAAAAATAAAATCAAAGAGTTGGTGGTCTAATTAATGGTAAATGGTAGTAGAAAGGGAGCTAGTGTTAAGAAATGGGAGCTAGTGGTAGTAATGGTGGTCTAACTTTTTATGCTCTAGGTTCAATACTTTTTTGGTTCGAAGATATTAGACTAATGTGAAAATTTACATTGTGATTTAGTGCACCAAGCACCTCTTGATTTAATTTATAGCATACTGTTATGTTTCGTAACTTAGTAAATTTGAAGCCGATAAACTAGTTAAGCAAAAATATCAAAATCCAAAGGGGATCGTAGATTACATATGTATACTTAGAATCTTTGTTTCCAGTCGTAGTATTACGAGAAATCAACATATTTAAAATAATTGCGATGCAAACGATGATTCCCCAATCCACATGACATAAATTGTTGCTCAGAAGTCACAACCACCCCAATTATGCTAGAATCTTTTAAACATATGTGCTTTGTAAGGCTTGGCACGCACGACGGCACTAGCCTGATCAGCTACAAAAGCAAAGGAATGAGACATCAACAACATCACATTCCAAATCAGCTAACTAAAACTAAAATGGTAAACAAAGAAGATATGATTAGTCCTTGGATTCAGCTTCCAAATTGCTAGGGTCAGTTTGGAAACCCATATTTTTTACCACATCGAACTAGGACAAACAACCAAGTCAGCATTTTCATTTAGGTATATTTGAAGAATTATATTAGATATTATTTTTACATTGTTTGTGATATTTGGATACTTACTAGAAGCTAGAACGAAAACAAAATTTCATTACCGGGAGATTTGTTTATAGTTGATTAAATTGTAATTAATAAAGAGACAAAGAGTGTATGCTAGCAAAACGTTGGAAATGAAAAGAAGATTAAGATCAACAATCTGAAAGCAAAATCAACAACGACGTGGCACGCACCACGCGGCTCCAAGTAGTCATAACAAGTGGCCTATTAAAATCTAAATATCGCAACTTGTATTTGACTATAACGTACAATTTAACTAAACGGTATTTTAATTTACTCATGCAGATTTTATTGAAAAAAATATCATGAATTTACTAGTTTCATGCACGTACGGAGTTAACACCATTATTATAACTTTTTGGCGGCAGTTTATTAACTTAATAATAGTTGATACAATCAGGGAGCATAAAACTATATACTACTATTATTAACTTACTAATTTTTCAACTTTTTGGCGGCAGTTTAATTTATTAATTTGGGTTGGACCTTTAAAAACAACTCACTTAATGAAAGGAAATTTATAGAGCAAATTAAAAAATAAACAAAATTATAATCTGAACAAGTAAACAATATACGAAAGAGATAGAAATTATGTTTTTTTTTTTTTTGAAAAGAAGAAAGAAATCCTGTTCTCTTTCTGTTTTTTTTGTTTTGTTTCAGTTTGATTGTTTCCCGTTTCTAACTTTTTTGAATTTCTAAATTTCATATCGCTTAGAATGAGCCAGATCTTTATGTTCAAGTTTTAAATTCTAAATTATTAGCAAAAAAAAAAAGTTTTAAATTATAAATTAAATACTAACTATTTCTCCAATTCTCCACCGGACCGAGTAAACTCGAACGGGTCGCATGATGACAATGACATGCATATATCAAACAGCCTTCACATGTTCACACGCTGACTTATTTATTCGACCGAGCTAGCTATAAATACACAGTCGTGATTTAAATTGAACATTTGTTTTTAATTTTTTTTTTTTGCAGTATAGTTCAACATTTGATATTTGACATATTTACATTTTCTGAACGTGATGAACGAGTAATTCATAGTCCATACCAAACTTCATACATTGGAGTTGAACTGCATATTACACGGTCAAACAGACAATGTCGCACACCCTACGACCTACGCTACCATATTCTTTCGTTTTGGTATATAACACGCTAAAAGATTATTTCAAACCACATATCAATGCTTGGCATATGTATATTATACGGTATACATTAGTGTTACTAGGATGGGTACTTCGGCTTTGTTTGGGTTCGGTTATATAGTTTGGTTCTCGTAAAGCTATAAATGAGCTTATAACCAAATCTATTCAATTCAGTTAGAATTCAGTGCAATTTTGTTGGGATACATTTTGGTTGGGTCTTATATTTTAAATGATTCAAAACTTTGATTTTCTATGTCATCAAAATATTATAGAAGAGAAAAGAGAAATCTATCATGGTTTCACTTTTTTCGGTTTTTAACATTCGTAAATAATTACTATATATTTAATAATCGTTCATTATGAATCTATGATACACATATGTGTGCCTTTTATTCCAAGTATACGTTACTCTATTCACCTGTCTGTTTTCTTTTATTTTAATTTTATTTCCCCTGTTCTCTTAAATAGTGTCTTTTATTCTCCATGCATGAATCGATTTTATGAGACTATGACTATCTTTGCCTCTTTGGTAGAGTCTAATCCAATGTATTATATGTTGTACAATCTTAGACTTTCCGTAATGTATTCAGAGAAACTTTGATTGATATTAAGTAAAACGTACTTATCAAATGCATTTGTCTTCAAACGGTGTTTATTTTATCTTTGTCGGTGTTTAATGCATTTCTACATTTAGTCAATTAAAGCATATCTATATATATATATATATCGCGAGACAGCATGCATGTATAAGTATCAACACAAATCTACAGAAATTTTTTGATAGCAACTGTAACAATAATTTTTAATCACATATAATATTAAGTCGGACATGAAAATTTCAAGTAACTCAAAATAAGTTTAATTTGTACATAGTTAAAAAGATTATAGAAAGTAGTGTAATTTCTCCTAAGTTTTTTTATATGTTGATTATTTGGAAAGATTGATTGCTTATAAATATAATACTAATCAATATGAATATCAGAATATGTATAATTGCTGTAATTCGTGTGTTAGTGTGCTCACACACCTGGCTTATGAAAAGATCACTTCTCACGTTTTTCTAGCAACTTCTTGTGCATGAAATAATTCACAAGAAATCCACACGAAAAAAAATCATCACACGAATCAAATCTTTATGCAGATTAAAAAATCATAATTAGGGACCAGAAAAATTAATGTGGGTCGCGATATGTCGTCCGATTTAGTGACTATGTTCACATGTTTACCCGACAAATCCGAAATAATTAACAACCCATATTATACAAACAAATTAAACTATTAATAAAAAAAAAAAATCAGCCTAAATATATGTGGTCTAGTGAAACTTTCAAATCTGAGTTCGATCTCCCTGGAAATAAAAACACATTTGTTTGGGAAGTCTGTCAGTTGGGTCTTGGCCCAATTGGTTTACCTGGTAGTCGGAAATGCAGGCGGCCTGACTACCCCCTGACATTAGTCGGAAGGCACTCCAAACTCGGATCAGGCATTAGTCGGAAGGCACTCCAAACTCGGATCAGGCAGTGTGGTGGCCCAATTCTGGATTTCATGGATCTTATGAATCTCATGGCCCGTTCGATCCGAGTCCGCTCGGAGCTCATAGTGTCTGTTGAACCGCGAGAGAAGTCCACTCTGTAGCACCTCGGTGCGTTCCTACCGAGGCTGACCGGATCAGCCGATAAGGTTTATAAAAAAAAAAAAAAATCAAATAAGACGGCAGATATAAGCCATCGTGTGTGGACAGAACCTCGTCACACGTCGTCTTTTTGTTTTTTACCAGAAGTATTCCTAATTCTGGTTAGTGTTGATAACTTACACTCAATTATATGTTCCGATATTTTCCTGAACATGTTCATATTGGTGGTTGCCGAGACTTGGGCTTCTGAGGGCCTAATAATTAATCTGGGCCAAATTGCGCTAGTCAATGGCAATCAAATATCGATTATCATTGCTCTTCATATCAAGCCCATCGATATACTTCTTTTGTTTTGGTTCAAGCCCATCGACAGTGTTTCATTTGATTTCCATGCCTCGTTGTTAAGAAAAAAAATCTTGCACGTATATGTTTAATACTTGATTTGTTTTGTGGAAATCTTCTTGTTTCCGATTATCTGTTTTTTTTAACAAACGCTCTGGTAACCCAAAAAGATGCTCGTATTCATGAATACATGAAAATTGATCCATCTTCTTGATTTAATCTAAACAAACTATTCGTCAATAGTTGCAAAACCACGGTTCACAACAGATTTGACGTTTGCAGAGAACCACGCCAAAGTACAAGTCATTCACTGTCCAAACTAGTGTATATAGGTACGTATATATATATATATATATATATATA